GTAAAGACTTTACTTTGTGCATGAGATTATGTTAATAGAAAAGCAGAGACGTGAGAGAGGGACAGAGAGAGAGAGAGGGAGATAGGGTGACTGTGTGTAGGCAAGCTGCATGCCTAAGTGCTGATGCCACAGGCAAGAAAAAGAGAGAAAAGGAACAGAAACTGTAAGGGAAAATATATGAAACGAAGGGAGGAGATATAAAAAAAGGAAAAAAAAAAAAAAATGTTGTTTACCTTTTAGCGGCATTCGCGGCGACAAAATGAAATCAAAACACGAGCTGTTCGCCTAGTTCAAACACCTCGGGCCAGAGCCCAGCACCCCAAGTTCTTGTTATGACCTTATAGCATAGACTGCCAGCCTGCCACGCCCCCGAGGCTGGCTCATTGCCTGGTGTTATGCTAAATTTAAAGCATGTTGCGGCTTAGATTAGAATAAAGATGCGGCGCGTGTTGCGACTGGCAGTGCGACATGTTCGCAGTTGCGACCGAGCAGTGGGCCCCTTGCTACACGCACACACACACACACACACACATTGGCATATATACGTATATCTATATGTAGGGCCAACATCTGGCGTGGCACATCACACGCGTGCGCGCTTTAATTAGCTACTAGGAGCAGGCCGTGCGAGAGAGGGGATTTTGCTTAGACGCTGTTGCATGCTGATGTCAAATGCATTTCGTGGACAAGTAATGTGCCAACTACACACACACGCACACACTCAAACATACTGCATATAGAGAGAGAGAGAGGGAGAAAGAGAGAGCGAGTGTGTTTACTTAAGTTGTCCGCCCAGAAAATCTGTTGTTGTTGTTGTTTCTGTTGTGGCACTGTTTAGATTGCGCCATTTGAAATTGTCGAGATGCTAAACCAAATGTTGATAATCCCAAATTGCAGATACGCATGCAAATCGAATGACCGCACGAACCTCACGAACCACTCGGACCACACCACAAATCAAACACAATTGCCCAAAATGACAAGTTCAAAATTAAGCAAACACTCGCCTCGATTTAAGCAACTGCCGAGCTTGAGTAACTAGCTGCAGTTGTTTACCCAATAAATCTTGAGTTTTACTTCTATAATCAATACACTCTCTGCATATTTTTGGATAGACGGAAATCTTAGGCCAAACAGCAAAATCAGTAATAATTATGTCAATGTTAGTTTACTTAATAATATGTTTTTAGCAAAAATCAATAAGTTTAACATTTAAAATTGTATTCATTTTCAATTTCTAACTTACTTAAATGAGATGTAGAATTTGTTCTCATTTAAGTTAGTTTAATTTTTTTTTTTTATAGGTAAACAGCTTTTGCATCGTAATGCAAACTAATATTGTAACAAATGGTATTTAAATATATTTTAGGCATAAAACCCTTCACATTAAATACTTATCGAATCAAGAGGGTAAATGTTTAAATAACAGATTTCACAAAATATATTTTTAAAATGTATAAGTTAAACACAAAAGAACATTTTCTTTTATTTTATTTATTTATTTACTTTTTATTATGTTCTTATATGTTTTAATATCAGCAACAAAAAAATAATATTTTAAGAAATTAACGTAA